GGAATTGCGGAGGGCCTTTGTGATTCTGGGCCATTACGAGTGTACCCAAGGTATATGAATGTATAATTTTATTAATTATTGAAGTTATGGAAGTTGAAAAATAATTTGCATGTTCAGGTAAATGGGGATTGAAGGATGTATGATTTTGGGTTAGCGTGTTCAGTTTCTTAAATAGTCCTTTTCCAGGTTGTGGTGCTGAAATGTTTTCAAACTACCCATATTGAAATTATCCTTTCCGGCGGGGATGTTTTTTTCTTTTCTTTCTACCTTGTTTTTTCATTGATTTTCCCTTTTTATTTTTGTGGTTTTACACACCCTTGATCTAAATGTTTATGGTTCGGGTGGTTCTGATTTGTTAAAGAGTCAGCACTCGGTCATCTCCCCATTAATGTTTTTAACGCTATCTGGCAAACACTTCCTATGTGCTGTGCTTTAGATTGTTGCCTGCATGGAATCCATTGTTGCAATTGTGAATTACCTGCTAGTATTGAGAATTAGAGTTACTTTGTAGGCACACATGTGATATGCAGATTTTATTGTAATAGACTTGAAAGTTAGCAATTTAATATTGAAATTATTAAATGTTACTTCTTTTCCTAACAGAGATTTCGAATTAAATGTAAGTTTTCCATTTTCAAATAGTAAAAGAATATCTTCATGACTTCTTAACCTTAATCCCTTTTTATTTAAGATCAGGTAACTGAAATTCTCTCTCTGTTTTTTCATGTTCTTATTTAATAAATTCTTGTTATATGTTATTAGGGTAATTTCATTATTTGTATAAAATGTTTCAAAAATGGAAACTATGGGGAGAACAAGTCTGCAGATGATTTCAAGCTCAGTAACTGCATTGAAAGTGATCGTCATTGTGGAGTTGTCTGGACCGAGGCTGAAACTCTCCTTCTTCTAGAATCTATCTTGAAGCATGGAGATGACTGGGAGCTTGTTGCTCAAAATATTCCAACAAAGACCAAACTAGATTGTATTTCAAAGTTAATTGAGCTGCCTTTTGGGGAGCTCATGCTGAGTTCTGTTCATGGAAGCGATAATTTTGCTGGATCCAGTGGGACTGTTGATGGCACGAAAAATGTAACATTACCTTCATTTGAGCATCAAGAAAGTATCAAAGGAGGAGATCCAGATCATGAGCAGATCAATGATAATGAGCTAAATGGAGGTGCTGCAAGTGAAGAACCTTTACTAAAAAGAAGACAGGTTGCTTTACCTTCAGATGCTGGTAGTTCACTGATGAACCAGGTAAGATGTCCTTGTCAAGAATCTAACCATGAATATTTGCTGTTTTCTCCATGCATTATGATTACGTTTAACTGCTTTAGCAGTTTTTTCCTCAAGTTGGGGGAAGTGTGTGCTCTATGGTAATTTTAAAAAAGAGGATGTGCCTGGCCCTCAATGTAGTGCGCCGTTTGGACAAAGCACGGACATCCCAGTATCGAGCTACTTGGTTAGGTCATCTCCTTGAAAATTAATTTAATATCACGGAATAATGGTCCACACATCGAATATTAACTAGTAAGAACAATTACTATACTTGTTCTTGTTCTGAGCCAAAAGGCTGAGAAAAGTACAATGTGTCAGTTGAAGCTAAACGTTTGTAAGTTATTGAAACTTTTTTTCTTTTGGAGAAGAAAAAAGAGTGAAATATGTTAACAGGACACCAAAAGGGTGTTTTCCGAGTATAAAAGTTATACCACATTCAAGAAAACAAAATCTCACAAGGTTTCCTAAATCCTCTTCAGAAAAACAGAGGTCAACTGTTAAACAATATACTAAAGGTCTGGAAACACTGATCTCTAATACTAGCAAAAAGAAGATATACTGCCATTGAAAACCCTCCTATTTCTTTCCTTCGAAATGAACCACATGATAGTCACTGGAAGAAGGGAGATGAATTTCCTCCTGGACTCGCACGCTCCAATGTT